TACAAAGTTTCTTTCTATGTTTTACATAAATCAAGCATCACAATCAAGACTAGAATTTTTCTTATTCTGTACTGATATTTTACTGAATAAGTTTCAATCTTCGCAGGTAACATAAAAAATAAATGTTAGGTAAGTAGGTCTTAACATTAAAGAATTTTCAATAAAATGATCCCTTCAGTTTCCAGTATTCGTGGCCACTAGAAAATCAACTAAGTTTAAAAATTTAAACTCAAAGAAGTCTAAGAAAAAATTCTATCTAGTACTTGCAATCTGAGATAAATAATTTCTCATTTTTTCACTTTCCATGTTTTTCTTTTGTTGAAAAAGGAGTGTGACAATGAATTTTCGCATTTGAGATATATAGAAATTTACTGCTGAAATGTGTACATACCTTTTTTTTGTATATACTTGAAAATACAATTTTTCAAATTGAAAAAAAACCAAGTATTCTTGTAGATACTACACTTCAAATTGTTTCTTCGCAAACTGTATTCATCGACCAACAGAGAGAACAAGAGAGAGCGAAAGAAAGAATGTGAAAGATATTGAAAATGAGACGTACAGAGGCTAGAAACAAGATACGTGACGAAATGTTCTATCTTTATAAATAGTCGTCGTTTTGACGTACAAATTATCCAATTCTTTACTGTTCTGTCGATCATTGAAAACTACATGCAACTAAGCGCTTGACAAATCGACTATTACTGCATGTTGCAATACCAATTTCGTATATGACTTTTCAAGCAACCGTTGAACGTTCATAATCCAAATGATAAACTCTGAACAGGGTATCTGTTCACTTTGTTATCAAGTGAAATATTTTCAGCAATTTTTTTTATCATAAAGATCAATGAATTCGTCTCATTCTTTGTTTGTTAAATGCATAAATTGAGTACAGACAGTATCCTTAGATATCTATCATTTACAATCTCAATGACACAACGTAAATGGACTGTAGAATGAAACCAAAAGATGCTTTTTATTTCTTTGATTCCAACCTTGCCAATCAACACGTGTACAAGAGAACTTTTTTTTTTTTATCTTCGACTCTTTATATGAATGAACGAACCAAATGTAATTCATCCATTGTTAGACAGGACTAAGGCCCCAAACAGACCGACTTAATGCAAGGTGAATGAAGTCAGTGTGATTGTTGACCCCTAACATAACTATCGCAACGGACGGTGAGAAAGTGATACATATAAACAATGAATATCGACGAACCGCAGTTATATATAGATATTTAGCTGTTTAGAGAATCATGAAGCAGAACAAACATGAATCAGTCAATTGTTAACATTGTTGATTTACCTGACGAAATTTTGCTTCATATTTTGAAGAAACTCAATAATTTCGATGTTCTATATTCATTGATAGGTATTAATAAAAAACTCGATCGAGTGGCATGTGATGCTAGTTTTACTCGACTTGTCGATCTAATGACAATCGAATCAAATCAAGTGACTGATTCAAGAAGTAATGCAATACTTGATCGATTTTGTATGGAAATATTACCTCGAATTCATGATAAAGTGGAATCTCTTACTCTTCAAGCATGTTTCTTGCCACGTGTTCTTCGTGTTGCCAATTATCTTCACTTACGCAAGCTTGTTATTATTAATCTGGAACTCAGTATGGGCTGTCACATTTTCAATGGTATGCTCATCTATTAATATTGAAGAATTAAAACAATTCTTTGTATTTATTGTCTATTTTTAGAGAAGTCTCCATTTATTCACGTTTTAAAACAACAAATCTCAGATCTAGTCGTAACGATTGGTGACGAATTTCTGGATACATCGAGTGGGAAATTATTAACTGATATTTATAACCGTATTTTTGGGTTAGTTAGAAATCTCAAATGTTTGGATATAGATGGTAGTGACACTTATGTTTTCTCTCGATTGTTGTTAACTAGTCTACCAGCTACAACATGTTGTTCGTCCAGTATTGTTCATTTACGAATCAAAATGCACAACATTGATGATTGTCTTTATTTACTTGATGGTCGTCTTAGTCAATTACATACATTGATTATCATTCTTTATTTTATCCATGATCCAGTACAGATCAGGCTACGTTCGCAAAAGATTATACGTCATTCATTGAAAATCATGAATAATATGGTAAATAACTATACTCGATTGGAGAGGAATGCTTTTATTTCAGTCTCGACTAGAACCCTTGAATCAATCATCACTAAAGACGGTTATTAAAAAAATAGCGATTTTAGACAAATGAAGATACAGAAATCTTGCAGTAATTTGTTTTTGGAACTCTAATAAAGGGTATTTCTTAAGTTTCGGTCCCATTTTTAGTTTTTAATTATTTTTGCTGTATTTAAAGGTAAACAGACATTCACTATATATTTGTGACGAGCAGCATCTAAGGTATCATTGAAGAGAAATTGCAATTAATTTCTATTAATCCTAAGAAAGTGCTGCATCGATGAAAATATTGAAAAAAATTCATCAAATTTTCTTTTAAATATTCTGTATCAAAATCGATAGAATAGAATAAATGATCGCCTTTTTCATTTCAATTTTCAATCATTTAGTAAGACAAAATTATGACAAGATATAGCTTGATAAGCTCTATAATTCACAAAAGACAGCTTATTTTATATATTCATCTTTTCTTTTCAAATTTGACGAAATTTTTGTGTCACTAATTTTCAATATTGAAAAAAAAGATGATTTTTTCGTACACAATGTATTTCTTTTCTTATTGCTTTGTTTTATGAGTAACATCAAAGGACATAATCGAAGACTGGTTTCAGACAAGTCAATATATGTTCAAATTGCAACAATATGCAATAGAATAAAGTTGAAAACAATGGTTCATTAATTAATCAAAGAAGAAAAGAAAAAGATTGTACGAAAAAATCATCTTTTTCTCAATGTCGAAAATTGGTGACACAAAAATTTTATTAAATTTCAAAAGAAAAGATGCATATATAAAATAAGGTGTCTTTTGTAAATTATAGAGCTTATCAAGCTATATCTTGTCATAATTTTGTTTTACTAAATGATTGAAAATTGAAATGAAAAACGCGATTATTTATTCTACTCTATTGATTTTGATACAGAATATTTTAAAAAAATTTGATAAACTTTTTCAGTATTTTCAATGATGCAGAAATTTTTTAGGATTAATGCAAATTAATTGCAATTTCTCTCCAATGATAGCTTAGATGCTGCTCGTCACAAATATATAGTGAATGTCTGTTTACCTTTAAATACGGAAAAAATAATTAAAAACTAAAAATGGCACCGAAACTTATGAAATACCCTTTATGACCTATCCACTAATAGATTCTTCAGTTGTTGTGTCATGGTTTATTTCATTAAAAAAAGTCATTCAGTTCTTAACATGATTCAACAAAAATCGTATTTCTTTATGAAATTAGTTGCACGACTGAGATAGAGAATAATACGGATAACTATCAAAATACTTCAGTTTGTTCTTGAGCTATGTTAAAATAAAAACGAAACCCTTAATGCTCATCCATCAAAAAAAAAAGGTATAAGAATATTTCCAAAGCAATCATTTTCTATTTGATCTATTGATTAAATCTATCATTGAACAAATAACAATATCTTACTTCTGTTTTGCTTTTTTCATAGACTAATCCACTTCAACTCAAATGTTTTTCCATACATGCATATCATAGAACAACTGAATTTGATAGTCTAGTGATACCTCTCCTTCGTCGAATGATACATCTGGAAAAGCTCAGCTTATCTCTCCGTGTCGGTGGGAAAAATTCCTTCATTGATGGTACTTATTTGAATAATTATATACTCAGTCAAATGCCACGTCTACATACATTTCACTTCGATATTGTTACTGAATATGTCAGCATGAATGAACAACAACCTAAGCCAACACCTGATGATATTCGACGTACATTTACGGAAAGAGGATATCATGTTGATTGTTATATCGACTATGAATTTTATAATTTAGGTCGATGTCATGTTTATTCAATTCCATTCGATAATGAACGTTTGTGTCATATAACGCACGGTTTTCCTGGTGGTATGTTCATCAATGTTCGTGTTCTACGTATGAAGGACGATATCCATCCATTCGAACATAAGTTTTTTGCTGAAGTCTCACGTTCATTTCCACTACTCAGTCGTTTGATGGTTTCCAATGTAAACGAACAAAAAGAGAAACATGTAGAAAAATCTTCGATTATTAACTTTTCTCATCTTGTCGAACTTGATTGTCTCAATGTACATATCGACTACGTGGAGCAATTTCTATTCGATTCGAATACACGTTTACCTTGTCTGAACAAGATTTATATTTCATATGAACATTTAGTAAGTGTGACAGAGAATTTTACAAGAAGTACAACGCATATAAATTGTGCAAAATTGAAGCATATTATTTTTGATCGAATAATGGCAATGGTGCATTCGAAAGACTATTATCTCTATTTTCCTTTATTGTTGTAAATAATATTTTCATTAAATATAATCATTTGGATTTGACTATGTTCAGGTCGATCAGGTCATCTGATTAGAATCAACAGAGATTTTGAAGTCTGTTCAAATTCAGAAATCAAATATATATGTACAGCGAATTTCTTTGAAGGAGAAGGTCAAGTGTTGCAAATTTTTGAGTGTAACATATTATTCCTATTTTTAAAAGGTCGGAAGGTAGCCAAATATTCAAAATACTATTTATATGCGTATGGAAAAATTTGTCCAAATTCGATTGTTTGACCATCAAAAATTCATTTTCCAGGAAAATTCATGTCATAATCGGGATTAATATCAAAAATTGGGTTGGCTAATATGCATTTTAGTGAAAATAATTTTCTGTCAAAAACTTGCATGTAGAAGAACACCAACAAAATTCATACAAAAAAGCAGTTGAGGGAGAGTAGCAGTAAATTTTTGACAGAATATTATTTTTACTGAAATACATGTTATCCGATCCAGTTTTTATTGCTGATTCCGAATATGACATAGATTTTCCTGGAAAATGACTCTTTAGGTCGAACAGTCGAATTTGGACATAGTTTTTTCATAGGCATGTATAGGATTTCGAATTTTTGATTATCTTCCGGACATTTTAAAAATAGAAATAATAGTGCATAGATTGTAGAGAAATAAATTCTGTACAAAATATCTTAATAAAACCTTTAGTTTAATAAAATTTCCTATCGGAAATTTTTTGAAGCCTTTTAAACGATAAAAACAAGAAGTGCCATTGTTTAGATGGAAAAAGTACGTTAACTTATTCAATTTTATTTTCTCTTTCAAATGAGACTTTACTCAAAAAAAATCTATTGTAAAATGACCAAGAAAGATGCGAAATACGCACGGCTGAGTTTTTGGAAAATCGGGAACAGCTTGTTGTTTAAAACCTTCATATCTCGATAAGACAACATTTGTTTAGTCTAAAGTTTTGGATGAATAAGTTTCTCGACATGGACTATGGCATAAACATAGTCAAACTTGAATTTGAAATTTAATCATGTTTAGCCTCTGTAGAAAAATTCTCGATCGTTTCGTAGATTCTCTCTCGTAAATGCTATTTATCAATATTAATTTAGTGTTATTGTCGTAGATCAACTTCATATAACTACAACTGAAGTTATATGTATTATATTTATGTATCATCTAATAAGCTACCATAAAATCTTCCAGCACGACAATGTCGTTTATTTTTTTCACCTAAACTTCTTTCTTGAATAAGTATAAACAACGTTATTTAGAGTTACAATTAACTTATACTTTATTCCATAAATAAATGGATGACTGTACAAATTCATTGGCTAAAACTTTTTTCTCGTTTATCTTTCATGGTGTTTAATATTAGAAAAAACAAATCAGACAAAAAATATTACATGTCCAACAACTAAACATCATTGTCAGTATTTTGTTCATATAATTTTTTCTATTCTCTATTCAATTTATTATTTACATAAATTACCAATGAAAATAAATTATAGAATATCTTCAAGTAAATTTATAATCGAGAGAATATTTTCGAAATAAATTAATCTATTTACCTAGTTCTATACAAAAATTCTCAAACAAAAAGAATATCAAGTCAATTTGCAACGACAGATAATATCAATAATTCGACAAATATATCCTTTAAAAGAATAAATTCTCGATGAAGACGCACATCAAACTTAATTGAGTATGATATTGTAAACAATAATATTAAATTCTTTTTTTATCAAATAAAATAATTCTAGAAATTCTACTGAATTAACTGGTGAATGTGTTATTTGTTTATTAGATCAATCAATTTATTTTTTTCAAAGATCTTCTAGTAATAAATGTAAACATTTTTAAAGAGCAATATGTGATACATGTATTTATAATAATATAAAAAGTCTTGTTGAAAATACGATAAATTCTAATATAAATTGTCCTGAACCTAATTGTATGAATATATTTACTTTTGAAAGTATTTGTTTTATTCTTCATATGGGAAATAATTTAGAATTATTTGAATGATATGATCGACAATTAACACATAAACATCTTGAAACAAAATTCAAGAATTTGTTTGATGTGTACATAATAGATGTGGTTCAGGACAATTACATTATATAGATATATATTCAAATCCAATAGTTATACTTGTATTAAATGTCAAAAACAAACATGTGCTTATCATCATGTTAAATGGCATATTGAAATGACATATCAAGAATATGATCAAATGAATATATCATCTATTGATCATAATACACAAATATGAATTAGAAAAAATGCAAAAAAAGAAAAATGTCCACTATGTCATTCATATATTGAAAAAATTTCTGGATGTGAACATATGACATATACAATATGTAAGTATCAATTTTGTTGGATATGGTTTGCTGATTATCGAAAAATTCAAATTTAGTCTCGTTCGAACAATCATTTATACTATTTTATAGGTATCAAACATATCTTCATATTCGATATAACTATATATATTGAAAATCTTTTTTTTAAATATTGATTAAAGAATTTTCTTTGTTAAATCAACGATAAAAAAAAGTCATCTCTCTGAAGAATCATGAATAAATGCTTTTATTTCGAAACTGAATTTATGTAAACGACAAATACTTAAAGAAAATATTGTGTATTTCTATTCAAAACGATCGATAGAAATTAATGTTTGTTCAATAATAAATGGCTAATTTTTATTCTTTATGACAAAGACACTTAAACAATACCTTCAAATTCTATAGTGTTCATCTCATTTAATAAAATATTTTATTTTTCTCAAGGTAAAAAAGAAAGAAATTTGTGTGAATATATGTTGATCAGAATTGATTCTAAAAGGCTAATATTTTACATCGTTCATTTATATTTATAATCATAGAATATGGTTCGAATAATACATTCCAAAACAAAAATAATCTTTTCATAAATGAAACTTCGTCAATGCAATATTGATTTTCGTATGATTCGATGGTGAATTTAATTCTGAATAAGATGATGCATATGTGGGTGTGGATGTAGGATGAGTGTTGGTCTTCTTTTCTACAGCGTCCGGACACGCACACGCATATCCCATACCCGCACTCACACCCAAGTTCCGCAAAACTTCACCCAGGTCAGAAATTGTAGATATTCTAGCATAAGCCTTAAATGATTTTTTTTTTGACAATTATTGTAAAATTTCTTTTTGTTGTTTCTGCTTTAACAAGAATCCATTTTACTGACACTTAGAAAATTGGTAAAAAAGATATAAAGAATATAGTAAGAAAACATACAATACATGATTCGATGCATCTTCATCTTCTCATTCGAATGATGAAAACTAGAACTCCCTATCTTGTTTCATCAAAATCTATTCAAAAATATCAAATAAATACTCGTTAGTATAAGCGACATGAATGATAGAAAATCAGATAATATCAAAATTTTATTACTGTGATATTAAATGAAGGTATGATCAAATATTAAAGAGAGAACTTCCTTTTTACTATTCTATTATATAGAGAAAGAAAATAATTTGAAAGGTTTAGTTTTGAGTATGATAAATAAGCGAGTCAAACAGTGTTTGCTACAACTGCGGTAATTATGATTATTTAGTGGCATGACTATTGATCATACCACTAAATGTTAATGTATTAATCAAACTAAGCGAAATAGTTGAACAAATGTTCGTTAGAGAAATCCATTTGGAAAGTGCCAGTCGATCAGATTATTGATTCGAAATCTTTTAATCAAAATAAGAAAAATAGTTGAGCAGAGTTCTTATAGAAATAATTCGTTAAAGAGTCTATTTCTGGTTTGATCGTCCCTTCCATCACCAACTTCAAACTTCTGTTTGCATAGAATTAGACTAGTAAGATAGAATTGTTTTTCCGATAATTCATCGAGATGAAATAACTTCACTAACTGCAATAGTTTGCTTTACAATAAACAAGATAGTTGAGGTGTGTGATCGTGGAAGAATACAAGACTCACATCCATACCTTCAAAGATAAGTTTTATAGGCCTTAATTCGAACAAAGAAAAAAAAGGACAAAAATTTCTATTTAATAAACAAAAAACGCTACTCAATAGCAGACCTAAACAGTACATTATTTCACATTTGATTTAGACTTTCAATATTGTTTTGAAAATTAAATATCTTGTATAACTACGACTCAATTTTTCCGCATAAGACTGTTCCTCTCATTAACAAACAATGTTTCAAATTAATATATTTTTCTGACTGTTACTTTTGATTTATAACTCAGACATCATCAATATCTTCAGCAACAAAACATTTATTTTTGTTTTTTCGATCAGTTGTACACATAATATATAGATAAACCTATTTGCATATAATCATGTGAAAATAGAGCAATACGACGAAACAACAATAATAATATAGATCTTTCAAAAAGACATAGAGAGAATGAAAAGCCTGTAATTGTTGACTACGAGCTACTTTTGATTAGCTCTGATGATCTATCAATGATCAAGAATCAGGCAGATATACTTCGCTGAAATTCTATTGTGAAAAAATAATATTGAGCAATTTGATTACTCAGGCTGAGGGAAATTCTGTATAATAAATTTTAAATTTTTTAAATGAATAAACACTTATATTTTTGATGATAAATTGATTTTTAATAGAACTATTTCATTGAAAAATTCTTTTGAAGCACAATGCGAAATTTATTTGATTTTTTACTCATCTAATAAAAAAAGAAACAATGACATTTTTCCGGTTTTTCTGTATTTATTTATAATAAATTGTAAACTATTAATATTTTTCGTAAATTGACTTTAATTGTATCAGATGAAAATAATAATATGATATTTTTGTACTTATTTATTTCTCGAATGCTGATATACATCAGCAGTACGCATGCAAATTTGATATTCAATATGGGTCGCCCTCTTTGATATTTTTAGAGGCTGCATGTATTTTTTTATGCTGTGGCGATTTGTGCGTGTAGATGAAAGTATGGGTAGTTTATATTAACCGTTTACGTCGTGTCTAAGAAGAAATTTTTGATATTATTCCTCTATGTTGAATTATAAAAACAAATCGCTCAAAATTCTCTGTTTTTTCTTAGAACGAAAACTTTATCCTTATTTTCCACCATATCGAACTGAAATAAGTAAAAAAACGATTAACAATTAATGAAAATTAATTTTTATCAAATAAATTTTTTTTAAAATTTAAACTGGAACATCTATAGAAAATATACAAAAACTATCTGAATTAAATGTTGATCAAATTGGAAAAATTTATTTTAAAGATTTAGGACCACAAATTGGATGGAGCATAGTAAAAAATCTCTTTCATATATTTATCTATTTTTAAATAAATATTTATTACTAAGGTATTTATTGCTGAATATGCAGTCCCATTGTTTATCTATATTATTATTTTATATTTCCGACCAAGTCTTATATGTGGTTCAACATCTGCTTCAAAATCAATGCATATTGCTGCTCAGTTAGTTCATGTGATTTGAAAAAAAAAAAGAATAATTTCTTTATTATTTATTTAGTTTGAGTGCTGCTTATTGAATATTTCATTATGAAAAACGTATATTAGAAACAATATTTGTTCATCGTTTTTCTCATGCAAGAATGCCATCATTTTATGTATTTTAAGTGATATACTTATCTTTTCTTATCTATTAAATTTAATATAATACAAAGTTATATTTTTCTAATAGATTTGTAGTTATTAATGGAGTTTTACTGCATTTATATCATATTTTCTTAATTATCCAAAATAAACTTCAATATCATTTAGTTATACTCAAATTTATTTATATTTAGCTATTTTTATAGTAAGTTAATTGTTATTTAAAACCAATATATTTAAAAAAAAATTTTAAGTTAATTGAAATTGGTAATTTATCAAGTCATTTACTTCTTCGTGATCTTCGTTCACCTGGTACAAATGAACGTCGTATATCATATTCAAATAAAAAAAAACCATTTACAAATTTTGTTTTATTTGATTTCATGTCCTAATTATACATATGAAATTGGTTCATGATTAAGTTTTTCATTAATGACACAAACATTAACAGTACTTTTATTTACTTTTGCTGGTGTTGTACAAATGATTATATGAACTAAACAAAAAACATCAAGTTTATAAAAAAAGAATTTGTTGATAAATATACAAAACAAAGCAAAGCAATTATTCCATTTTTAATTTAAATTAGAAAAAACATCAATTAAGACAATTCATTTCTTTTTTTTTTCTTTCTTGTGTGTCTTGTTATTTTTGTGTTTAACTATAGAAGAAAAAGATCATTAGAAAAAAAAAACAAAAAGAACACATAATAAAATAAAGCAATGGATTTCTTCTCTGTTATTATTATTTTAAAATAAAGAACAAAAAAAAAAACCAAACCCACTTCGTTTGCATTTGCTTTTAGATTTTCTAGACTATATTTTTTATCTTTATCAAATGAATATTTATTGTTTCTTTCAATAAATAAATGAAATAATCATTTTTATTTCAAGAGAGAAAAATCATATTTAAATTTTGATTTCATATTAGTATTTCTATGAATTGTGTGAAAATAAATGTATTGTCTTATTCAAATACTACATCACTTTTTTTCTTATAAAACAAATTTTCAATATAGATATTAAATGAAATGATTTACAAAATCTCTTTATTCTCTTGTATATATAAAATACATTTATTTCAATATTTAAATAAATTTATTTGTTAAAGATTGTTCTTTTTTTTTTATAAAAATAAAATGAAAGAACTTACAATAATATTATATGCTGGTGGAAATAATCGTTTATCAACAGATTTATCTATACCAAAATGATTATTACCTATTGGAAATCGTCCCTTAATATGGTATAGTCTTCAAATAATTCAATCTCATTCATCATTATCATCATCACCATTACTTATATTAACATCTGATCAATATCGACAAGTTCTTGATGATTATCTTTCAACATTAAATATAACATATGAAATCATTATTTATCGACAACAAACAGAAGATAAATTAGGTACATTAGATATTCTTCGTTCATGTTATTCTCATATTAGAACTGAATCAATATGTTTTATTACCTGTGATCTTTTTGGAAAAGTTAACCTTACACCATTAATTAACATGTTTAGAGTAAGAGATGCATCTTGATCTATGCTTTTACTTAAAAGAACAACATCAATAACAACTGGAAAAGAATCTATTGTATAACCTGGAGAAAAAATTAAATTTACTACAGGTTAGAATATAATATATTTAAATAATTTCCTTAATCGTTTATATGAATGTATTCTCTTTTTATTTTTATATCAAAGAAATTGTAATCAAACTAATTAAATAATCAAATAGAATAGTCTACAAATCAATTGCTTCTTTCTTCTGAAAAAAGTTTTTAGTTTTCATTTTTCTAATAGAAAAAATCGATAATTAGTCAATATCATCTTTACTTTCAACTTCAAATTTTCTAATTTTATGTCTTTATTTAAGACTCGAGTGTCGTTACAGTGTTTTTTTCAATTGAAATGTTTTTTTTTATAATTCGTAATCTTTTATATATAAATGATTTGATATTAAATAGAAAAAAAAAGAGTTATTTGTTTAGCCAGAACATTATACCATTTCGAAAATTGGTATGAGGAAAAATGTAAACAGTTTCTTTGAGACAAATTTGAAAAAGTACTTTTTGTTTTTTTAGACATTAGTCTTATCATAACAATTCTGATAAGAATTTCAGTTTGATTACTGTCATTTCTATTTAGTCAAAAACCAAGAAAGAAATTCTACTTTAAAACATCGAATATGAAAACATACCTCTCTGTATATTTTTCTTAGGATTATATTATGATAAACTTCATGAAACTGAATAAGTGAAATTTTTGTTATTCAAACTAATATTTGAACGAGGAATTTGACAATACAAAACGAAACTTGTTAAATTCATATATAAGTGAATTATTTGAATCATTTTTTGAAATAGTACCTGAATTTTATACAGTTGATCAATCAACTAATGCAGTAATATCAATACGAATAACAGCTAATTCAGATAAATATCTTCTATTAAAACAAAATATTCTTGCTAAGTAAGATAATAATATAATATTGTTAATATAAAATAAATTATTTTGTTAATAAGATATCCTCGAACAATTATTCGACAAGATTTAGTTGATGCTTATTTATATTTAAGGGTGTGGATCAGGGTCACGAGAAGAATTACCTTCACACCAACACCCACAGAGAATTTTTCGAGATGAGACAAGCTAAAAATGAGCTAGTTTTTTACCTTTGTTTGGTGAATATCTGCCTCAAACTACATGGCATAGGGCTGAAAATTTTTACCACAGGCTCCTCATTGCAGCCCCAACATATCCTGAAAAATTCATGCAAGTTGGATATGCCTGGACTGAGATCGATTTTTGAGGAGGAGAGCCTTAAACAGACGGAAAGTTGAATAGAAAACATTGTTAACCGATAAGTAAATATAAACAGTTAGAAACATTGTTTTTTTCGCACATATTATTTTATCTCCACAGAATCTTTTTTTTTTTACTGAACTTCATTTATGTAGGTATTTCTGTAGGGAATGCTTTATTAAATAGTTATGTAAATCTTTCATCAAATTGTTATTCAGTAAGTAATCTTCCAACAAATACCGAATGGACATTTACAACAAATGTATATTCTCCAGTTGTATCCAATGCAATGATTGTTGAATCTCGAGAAGAATGAAAATTTCCTTCAACAGATTCAATAACAACAGAAACTCCTTCTCAAATAACATCCAGTGACAAATCACCAACAAATGGAACTGATATGAAAACAGAATTTGTTAATTCTCCTAAAAAACAATTTAAAACAGGTCATGTTGAAATCATTGTTCGTGATCCTCAACGTCAGCCAAAAAAAATATTCTAAAAAGAACAAATATGAAAATGAATGAAATCGTTTAACTGCTGTCCTGATTTTGTAAAAGAAACCAATTTATAGTTTAGATCAGAGATTTTTATTCAGGCAATATCAGAACAAAATTAAACTGACAATAAAGGAAAATAACAATAGACATCTTTCGGATAAACTATTGGATCTTCAACAATTAGTTGTCTAACTCCAGCACAATTATGTCGTGTTTCATTTCTTGTAAAATTTTTTGTCACAATTTTCAAAGCGTAATAAGTGACTTTTAATTCTGCTAAATGAGGTATATATGATTTTGTTTCATTGAGAAAATTTTCGACATAATCACTATATGTACGTTCGACGTCAAGTGAAATAAGATGAGGATATTCAATAATTGAGAGCCAGTCTTTATCACGAAGATAATAATTGTGAGCCAAAAACGATGGTATAATATTGTGAATAGATAAATTTTTAAGAAATGGAAAAGCTCGAGCAAGTCGAACGAAAAATTCATATTTGAATGCATCTTTGTCCCATAATTTCAAATGAGTAACCGAATTAAATACAATATTTGGAATGTTATTTCCAATATGTTCAAGAAGATGAAATTTAAATGGAAGTGAAAAAACGCGACATATAATTTTGTAAGGCTCGAAATAATCTACCATAAAAGCTACTTGTCGATGTTCTATATTTGTGAAAGTTCGTTGAATATCATCATTAGATATACGAATAGTTGGATCAGCAATGACATTTTCAGAAGCGATATAAAATATGAATGTATGAAGTTGTGGCATATGAATAAGAATTTCATTATCAAGATGAGTGCCAGCGATGAATTTAGATCCACCAAAGATATGAAGATATAAAGTTAATTCTTTGAGATATATCATTCGATGAAGAAGACGTACAATTACATTGTCAAATCCTTGGAAACTATGACAACACATTAATGAGAAACATTTTAAATTAGGTAGATCATTCTGAAAAATAGAAAGCAAATATTTATAAATTCATCTTTATCAGTTGAGCTAACACATAAATTTACATCAACCATCAACCAATATATATATTAGTCATTTTAGACATTCTGTTTTTAAATGTTTCTTATATTCTATGAAATATATCTATTATCTAGGAACTATGATGATAAAGATGATTACTTTGTATTTGTTAAGTTCTCACGCATAGAAACTAGTGAATAATTAAACAAAACCATCAAATAATATATAAGAATAAGTTTTCTTAGCATGTTTCAAAGCATTTAGTAAGATTCATTATATGGATGTTACAAGACAAAAATATTAGTAAAGAAAATTAATAATTCTTTTAAATAAGTATGTTCATTTGAATAGTAGAAGTGAATAACACTTAAAGGAAAACTCGGTTGATTAAAGTTTATGTTGGAAACAGGTATATGTTTAATTTGTTTTAACATAGATGAAAAAGTCCAACATAATTAATAGGAAATATATAAAACAAAATATTTTCTATCCGGTCATTTAATAACTACAAAGGTTGATGAACTATTTTCAGATGAGTGATGCTTAATTATGAAATAATCTTGAATAACATCAAAACAACTATAACAATCTAATTCTAATTATTTCCTAATAATCAAAATTAAAACCTCTTATTGACAACTAATGCAGAAAACTCCTTGTTTTATTGCACTTCTAATTAACCTCATTTTATCTTCGATATTAAACACTAATGAGAAAACGAGAATCACACGAAGGATAAACTCACCCCTTTGTAATATGTTGATATCCGATTGTGAATAGAATCAACTTGAACGATGAGTGTAATTAATTGTTTGAGACGACCATCAAGTAAAGCATGAACATCATCAAAATTATTTATACAAATCGTTGGTCTGAACATCGCTCTTTTGTCTGGGAGAAACCACATGTCTCTATCTTGTTCCTCTGAAAAGTTATTCGTAATAAGAGAGCGTCTAGTAACTTATAGACCACCCTGTATATTGAATCACCTATGATCTATATGTAAAATCTCTAAGTGATGGATGACACACAAGATTTGAGGGAATATAAGTGGCTACTTCTAATAGTTGAAAGTCGAGTTATATTTCATTAGATGGAGAATTTCACTCTGAAAAAAACTGTATGCAAGCATGACTTGGTAACTCACTAAACCATAGTATATACCGTAAAAGTTCTTCTGGGCTGGGTTTATAATGAAACAATATATTATAAACCAATAGTATGGCTCAGACAAAGTTTTTATTACACCAATGTAAATTAAAAGGTAATATATAAATAAATGTGACACGTTCTGAGAAACAAGAATATATAATTGGAATCAATTTTCGTCCACTCTATAATGAAAAAGTAAAGACTACAAAGGTAAAGTAAATTTTTTCAATTTTGTGTATTATTCGAATTTCCTATGTAATTTGTGGGTCTTATATCTTCCTGAAGGAATATGCATTTCATGTAATTTTTTTACCATAGATACAACTCATCAAGCTCTACAAAATGAGATAACTTTCGGTGAATTTAAAGATAAGATATTTATGTTGTTTGTTTTTGAGAGACTCTTCTTGGAATAGTCCTTTAGTAAAATCTTCTGTGAAAAAAAGCATCATTCTAGTATTCATGATAGTCGAACGTTTCAACAAAACTGATCTTCATAAGATATTAAATCGCTCCTAATGAATATAAAAGAATGTTTGTATCAAATTATAAATCGGTTTTAAGTCACAAGTGTTCAATACTAAAATGTACTTGACTGAGAATACTCGCATAGGAGAAAATCGTGTTTTTCTTGTATTAATGACGTTCAGAAAAAATGACCGTTCTCTTCTATACTAGCGTATAAAAAGAAAAGAATACGTAACTTTTTTCGCCATCATCTGACGAGTAAAATGATATAAAATTGTAGGGGTATAGGATGAACCTATCGAGAGTTGAAGCTTTTGCAAGGGACTAGAGTCGATTTGTAGAAAAGTCATGAATTTTAAGGTAGGGTACTTTTCTTTAGGATGAACAAGTATCCTATGATGTTTCATATAACCATTATCAAATTTATATCATTAGATGCAGTTTTTCACGCTGCATCTAATGAGCATATTTTCAAAAGTCTTCAACAAATAAAACATTTCGAAAAACAGAGGTTATTTAAAAAACGACTGATTCTGTGTAATATGAAAAATGCATTTTTTTAAATATTTTTTTAACTCATTTTTTGACGTTTTTCACATCAAAAACGGCTTTAAAAAAATTTTCTAATATACAGTTTTGTAGAGCTCGATGAGCTCTATCTAATCATGTAAAAATCTCGAAAAAAAAATTTTTACTTGATTTTTGCATTTGGGGCACCTTAGAAATTATTTGATCCATATAGACCTAAACATAAAATATTAAAATCAAATCCAAAAACCAAACTTTTCTTACTCGATTAAGTGCATCTAAAAGTTTATCGATTTTATTTGGAAAATGTTCAATTGGATCCAAATATTTCGATCCCATCTGTCCATCTCGTTCTTCCAGTCGTTGTAATTCATTCAATCTTCCTAAACCTAAAACATAACAATCCCGTAACTAACAACAAACCAAATGATCACACCTATCCAACGTTGAAATTTATAAAACATAAATGAGAACATATGTTGATCGACATCACCATTTAGTTTAATCTCATCTCGAACAGTTCCAAAACTGTCATTAATTATTGTTAAAAACATACTCATACAAACAAACAGAACCAACAGAATAAATAAACTAAAACAAAATGGACCAAGAAATGCCGCAGCTTCACTTAATTCATGTGCATTAAAATTCATTGGTATCATTTGAAAAAGCATTTCTGCTGTATATAATAAACTTGAACAACTTGAAATTTTTCCAATAAATAATAAATAAAATAACGATAAAAAACCAAGAATACAATTGAAAACATACATCCAAATGATAGTAATTCTTTACATGCATATTGAAGTGTTTTAGTAAAAAGGATTAAACGAGAATTAAATCGACAAAGACAAACAAATTTAATGGTACCAAAAAAACAATAAAAAGCAAGTAAATATATGTAGATATTATTAACCCATTCGCCACGATTCAGTTTTCTGGGGAAAAGTCTCTGAATGTCAATTTCTGTCAATAGATAACTTCTAATAAATGCAGTTGGTGACCGTGTTCATTATCTTTCAGGAATTATTTATTGTTCTCTTTCTATCACCATCTAGTGAATCAGAACAAAATTCCCAGCATTTTCCCTGATTATTTTTGTCTCTATGGCTTTATGTATCAAAATTGGCGGAAATGAGGGTATTAAACAGAAAGAACCTGGTCAAGTGACACATAAACTCGCTGATCACAATCTAGAAGAAAAAGAAAGATCTGCTCGCGATGTCCGAAGACGCTGTGCTGGCTGCTATGAGAAAATCAGGCAACCAACAATCAAAAGAAATCGGTCATGTAGCTGCAAAGGGAGTAAAAACTGTTTTTGTCTTGATCGTGATAAATTCTTTTGTCTTGATTGTTTCAATCAGAAGCATCGCACTTTCCAATAAACGATTAAATACTATTAAAGATAGAACTGATGACATCTAATTTGTGACCTTTGACTAAGAAAAAAATTGAAAAAAATGTTTCTCTATTGAGTTTTTTTGTAAAAATTATGCGGGACCCATCGGTGGGTCCCATCGTGGTGAATGGGTTAATATAAACAGCAAGTTGAAGATTAATATAAACGAATCCATTGGTCTTTTCAAATAAATTATTAACACGTATAGATTCTTGATATCACCATATGTAAATTCCAACACTTGTCCATGAACAAATAATTATACCAAGTTCGATAGATGACAAAAAATTTCGAAAATAATTTAATTTAAGTTTTATTAATGATTGAATTTCAATAATCATTATATAAATGATAAATATCATGTAGAATATCGCACAAATCAATTTAGGAATTGTTCGAAAGACTAAATAAAACAAAGGAACGTTTTTAAACTATCAATCGATTCGATCTCTGACTATCAGGCTATACGATAAGGAGGGGAAAGTAGGAGGATTACTCCTACCGAGACTTCTTCTTGAGTTCTGCCTTTCTCCTACTATAGCAATTGGATCTAATAAATCAAGATGCCAGACAATTATTTAAAAGAACATATACATTTCAAATTACTGATATAGATAGTTTTGTGTGTAGTAGAAATAAACTTGTTTTCCTCGGCCTTAATTTTCTGTAGGAATTCATCAACACGAAAAATCACAAAGAAACTTTTCTTCTTTAACTCTTTCTCCCTCTCTCTAAACGAAAGCTATGACTGACTATGAACAATTACCTTGGAAAGAAATTGGTTCAAAACGAGATTGTACTTCAACTCCACCAGTTGATAAAAACTCCCCAAGTAAATTAATCCAAGTAAATAACTGTGAATTTGGATTATATAAATTAATCTGAATGATCACACCTCTTGTTTGACTATCAATCCATCCTAATTGATGAAGTTGAGAAAGATTACTTAGTAGTTCATTAAGTCGACCACGAAATTCATATACAAACCCACAACTACCATAAGTTGCATGTTCTCCTATATAAATATACGTGTCTAATTGATCACTAGTTTGATATTGAAATGCTTGATAAATGGCTGAACTATAATTACGTATTGTCCTATTATTCCATCCAGGTTGAAATGATCGTTTTTCTTCATTCAATAAACTATAATCACTTCTACATGTTGAATTACTAAAACATGAATTTAATTTAATACGTAATTGTCTCATTGTTGTCCATCCAATCAATCGATTAGATTTATCATTAATAAGCCCAGTTAAATTTCTAGGTGGTTCACCATTATACCATTCCTGTGCACGAATATTTTCGATAAGATTAGCTTCTAGCCATGGCCAATATTGATTGATTGTTGAAATCTATTTATTAAAACTGATTTATTTATTTTTATAAAGAGATTTATTAGCTTGGTATAGTCATTATCGATTTGTCTAGTATTTAAAAAGAATTTTCGTAAATGATTAATTTGATAGAAACAATTTTCATTTAAACTTGAATAAGTAACAAAATAAAGTAGTGAGAGAAAAGTAATAGAAGTAAATATCTCTCGAATAATTGACCACATTTGTATTTCTTTTAAAACGTTGATCACGTGCCCGGGAGATTTCAGCTTGATCAAGACGATTTACACGAGTTTGAGTTCGATGAGAGAATGGTGAATCATTCTAAAAAGAATTCAAGATTTTGTATATTATTAATGTATAAACAAACCTCGAGTGAATAAAGATAATCTTCATTATGATCTAATTGTAGATTATCATCATCGATATATTCAGCAGCTTCTTTATCTTTAGTTGTATTTCGAATAAAAAAAGCAAAAATGATAGCCAAACATATCACTTATATAATAAAGATAATCTATCGAAAGTTTTCTTTATCAATGGATCTACCTTGATTGGTTGAATGAATAATATTGATGAGGAAAAACCACTCACAAGTGATGTTAACCATTTTTAAGTTTTCAAATCACCAAATTCAATTCCACGAATAATAATAGAAACTACAGCCAATATAAATGATAAATCATAAGCAATAAAAAGACATCACCAACGAAATGGCAGTGGCGATCGTTTCTTGCCATAAGACTGAATCAATTTCACTACAAAAACAAAAGAAAATCTTACTAATTAATCGTAATTTAACCTACGGTATTGATTGTGGTTTTATTTTATAAACAGCTTCACGTAATGGAGAAAGTTGTTGGTGAGAACGTCGAGGTTTTATACGTCGAAAGAACTGTATAAGTAATATACTTCGAAGAAATGAAAATATTTCAACGATGACATCAATACTAATCTCAATATTTATCAAACAAAAAATTCAAAACTAATTAAAGAAATAAAACAAACCTGTTCAGAAGTGATATAAAGAGGACCAAACGATAGACTATTCGTATTTTTTGTTGTTTTTGCTTCAGTTACTTAATCATAATAAAGAATAACCAGAAGCATTACAGTTAGGGGTGTTACTTTATCTTTACTTTATAAATAAAAGTAAAGATTTACTTTATCTTTATTTCATAAAGAATAAAGAAATTTTTTTTCTTAGAAAGGTAAAATTTTATCTTTTCTAAATAGATCGCTAAATATTATAAGGATACAAGCAGAAAAAGATTTTAGAGAGAAGGTTTTTTCCATAAATCTTTTATGCCTCACATTCATTTGCTAACGTTATTCCATCTTAGAATGTGGCTGAGGATAGGAAAACATTGCAATCAACATTACTTGTTGCTATATGAATTATTCATCTATTTACCGATTACTGAAAAAATTCTTCTTTATTCTTTATTTTAACTTTATTTTTTAAAATAAAGTTTATCTTTATCTTTATTTTATAAATATAAAGATTTACTTTATCTTTATTCTATAAAAAATAAAGATTTACTTTATTTCTTTAACTTTATTTTTTAAATAAAGATTATCTTTATTCTTTATGAAATAAAAATAAAGTAACACCCCTAATTACAGTAAATAGTAAAACAAAACAACAAGTACATCGTTGAACAAGCAGAAGTTTATTTGAAGGTGGTCGAGATACGATTGAATACCAAAGATGATCGTCTGATAAACTATGGATACGCTTGTTTCGACAGAGTATCAGAAAATTCTCGTTTTTGATGTTCCCCCGCAATTGATAAAACACGTTCAATCAAATATTATTCGAGAAGAGAGAAGTGAGTAATCTCGACTCTGACTGAAGGTAAAAAATGTTGAAAACTTGAAAAAAAGTCGGTTTAGAAGGTGTTGCATAAGAACGTCATTATCACTTGTACGCAATGTCACACTAGTAGCTTCAAATCGCGAGAAAAGCGCAGAGGCTTAGCTAACTAACTGACGGAATAACGAGATACTACGTTATCCCAGTATTTGCGTGTGCATGGCTAGTTTAAGCCAACACTCCACTAGAAACAGTATTTAAATAATATATCAAAGCTCTTTTGCTTGTCTTTCTTTCTCAATAGTAAGAACTTGATTCCACTTTAGCTGCTTGGTTTTTTTCGAATTTATTCACTAAAAAATCATGCAGAAGTCTGCGCCTCAGTTTTGACATTTTTACATTCGCCTAAAGTCGAGTGAATCGAGAGAGGCTTATTCGATGAAAAAAAACCTTCATCTCTTTTATTCAACAGCTAGACAATTCTGACAAATAAAATACGGTTTTCCCATTGTTTGAAAATCACAGTATTTAAGAAACCATGATGCTGATATACCTTCACTTCAATTATCATGACAAATACGAATAGAATTCAATAATCCTAATGATCTAATATTTTTTTCTAGAAAACAATGATAATTTTTACTTTGAAACAGTCATCAATTTCACCATGTTGGAATATTTTTCTATGTGAATCATTAAATCTACAAACAGATGTTTCGTTATAATCATCAGCAAGAATAAAATGAACTTTTTGTTTCGTTTCAGCGCATCTTTCGATGACCGGTTAAAAGAATAATTTCATAAAAATAATCATCTGTTTTACGATTATCAACTAATGTTATTACTCATCATCTTTATATCTTATAACGTGCAGAAATAATTAAAGAAAGATAGATAATAAATCATTTTATTTCGAGCAAAATTAATATTTGAAAATACATAATTTCAATTAATTGGTGATAATAAAAGCACTCGCAAATCTTGTTAAATGAGTAGAAAAGACATTGTGTTTGATAAGAATTTGACAATGATCCAATCTTTAGCAAACATAATAACGTTTTTGTTTTCGTAAGAAGAGAAAACTTACTAATAATCCATCCGATTGTCAATATCGAAATAATAACAACCTAATTCATAATTTGATGAAAAATGAAATGATGTATTAGATATTGATGGATTAGAAATGCATTGATCGAAACAAAGATCTATCAAACTCAATTCTCGTTGATCAAAGATCACTGATTGATGATCAACTGTGCGTTGATTATCGATGAAATATTATCACTTATTAAATCTAAATTCAGAGATTGTTGTGTATATCAAACAATAGTCAATACTTACTTCAACAACAAAGTAAATCTAATTAATTCAACTATTCAATTGAGGTGAACTATCAAATTTATAAATCAATAAATAAGCTAGACTTCTGAGACAAATACACTTATCGATCCCTCATGTATTGATTTCACACCCTCACCCTCAAGGTCAATAAGTGTATTTGTCCCTAGACTTATATTCCAAGGACGCATTTCCAAGTGCAGTCAAATGGAAACGATTAGATGATATATTGAATAATTGATAATGAGGAGTTGAATATAATAAAGTCATTGGTGATATAACTAAATTTGGATCTCGATAAATAATGAATTGAATATGAATCTCATTTTCATTAGTATAAAATAATGAAAGTGAAAGAGATGTTGATAGATTAGCTGCTAAAGCAAGTGGTTGCATCATTGACTATAAAACACAAAACGGATGCATACATAAAAACGATCATTCAAACTAGAGTACTGCACGGGTACAATTTTTCATACCCGTACCCGACCCGTACAAAAATTTTCTACCCGTATCCTACCCGTACCTGTATCGTTCATGCCCGTACCCGACCCGTACCCGTCAACTTTGTACCCGTACCCGACCCGACCCGTATCTTTCGAACTTGCATGCTATCCGTATTCGTGATGGTATATAAAAAGGTCGAAAAAAAACTTATTAGCGCAGTCCTTTTGGGACTGAAATGTGAAACTCACATATCTCACATAAGCTAAAATATTGAACGACTATTGAAATAGTTACTACGGTCTGTAACAAGAGGTTGTGTGTAATGGTGGGCTGCTTGCAATGGGAATCTGCCTGTAATAGAGGCCGGTCTGTAATGGTGAACTGTCTGTAATGCGTTGGTGTCTGTAATGGGAACGGAAGCCGGAAAACTTCGGTTTAAAACTAACGCTCACTATTTTCTTCGAAGATTCCTGTGAGTTCCACAAAATACTATCGAAAGTGCTATTGATACAGCTTTAGCGCACACTATTCATATGCAAGTGGAGGACAGAGGCTGAACATGAGGATGAGGGTGGGAAATGTTGAGAGTTAGAGTGTACTGAAGTTCGATTGATAGTCCTTTTGATATTTTTTTTTCGACATTTTTTCTTTTAACCTTTATTATACTATTTTCCGTGCTATTCATATGCATACTAGACCTGTGCCCATAGTTCACAATGTAAATACATGATTTTCTTTATTTTGAAGTAGAAATATTAAAGAATAACTTTAAAACAATCATAAAATATAAATACAACGAACTAAAAATGCAGTCAACCTGGTAAATATGAGTTATTGTCTTTGAGTTTTCGGTATTCGGTCTATAGAGAATCGTAAGAGTGTTGGTTTTCGTGCTTGTACGCTGCTTGTGCTAGTATTTTTCATACCCGTACCCGTCTACCTCGTACCCGTACCCTACCCGTACCCGTAATTCTCATACTCGTACCCTACCCGTACCCGTCAACTTCGTACCCGTACCCAGGTTCGGGTACGGGTACCCGACCCGCGGGTTGCAGTACTCTAATTCAAACTAACTCGAATTAAAATTGAATTTGATTGAAAATTTCATGAAAGATGAATATGACAATTTACAATTTGTTCGAGAAACTTATTTGAAAAAGATTCTTTATCTAATGACATGAATAATCATGATTCGATTTTGAACAATATATAAATGAATATTCAATGCAGAACGTTAATAATGAGATGATTTCTCTCGATTGAACACGTATCTTATTTGCTATTTGTTTTTTATAATAACATTTTTCTATTCGTTTCCGTGAAAAACCATTTTCATCAGCAAAGAAATCTTCATGAAAATATATATAAGATACGAATTATTAATAAAGAAACAAATCATACTAGGATTTGCCTATTCAGATTCAAGAATAATCTTGAGAAAATGAATTCACACGAGATGAATCCAACCAAGCAAACTCGTTCATTGTTCTAATGATCTGTTAAATAAAAAATGACTCACGTAACAAGAATTATTTGAGGACGAGTATCATCATTTTGAACAAGTAAATAAACTCTTGCTTCAAGTGTAGAATTTTTCATATAAACCATAAATTGATATGTTCGATTCGATAAAATTGACTCGAAAAGAATGAAAACTTTTGTGAGACGCTTGTTGCACCAAAATGGCATGGGGATGATCCATTTATTTTACGATAATCAAAGATAGAAAATTGAAGAATACTTGATTGATTTGATAAGCACGATGGATTGATTCTGGAATCATCAATTGGTAATAGTGAATCGAGTATATTAGGGAACGTTATACAATCCGTAACATTCAACAATAATACTCACATTTCCAATCCTATAAAACAGAAAAAAGGACAGAAGAATTTGTTCAATGACCTTACTTACACTTGCATTGAGTGTATATTTATTTAGATCAACAGAGAATGTTCATGAATCGAGTATTAAATATTGTTGATGTTCACTTGTGATCATCGATGTTCCAAATCTAACAAGATATGGTGTAATTTTGACATAAACAGAAGCGGATGAAGTCAAACTTGGCGAATTAGTCACCACGACTGTTAATTTGAGTTCATAAATGCCATAAGGTAAAATTACTAAATCCTGTTACGATTGTTTGATCAATTTCAATTTGAGATAAGCAATTCGAAGTACAATTATTGATTTTTCAGTAAATGACTGTAGAGAGTGAACCATTACGATTGAGTTGAATATTTGAAATGATTGAGAAATATTGATTTCGGCAAAATTGTATTGGAGATACCAATGACGATGTATTACGAATTAGTATGATTAACGGCGAAAAACAATTCTAGAAAATGAAATCATTTTGTAACTTTTATTCACAGAAAACGTTTTTAATGTGGTGATTGACGCGTACTAACCGATAATTGATCGAAATAGCAGATTTATTAATGGAATGAATCTTCTTTAAATATTGTAAAAGTTTGATCAGTAATTGTTTTAATTTACTTTTGTCTAGAATAATTTTATAATAAAATAAAGAAAAAGTTTCTCTTTTCAAAAATAATCTCAATGAAAATATTTAAAAATAAATAAGATAATTTCCTCAACGTGTCGTTTAATGAAGACATATTAAAAAGATCGATTCTATTTCTACTCAGCACGAGAGTTATTTATAAAAAGAAACGTTCTGAAATCAACTATTGCCCCAATCGGTGACAAACATGTTACTATAACTATTGAAACTGAGTGTATTTCGAGCGTTTTATGTAACAGATATTGAACCACTTGCACCTGAGCATCCAACTAAATATCTGAAAGCTGAAGGTTCCGGATCCTATAAATGAATAGTTGTACCTGTCCACAATGAAAGTATATCCATCAGCATCGAGGATGACAATTGTTCTTAATATCCCATTTATTATTCCATTCAATCGTCCTGACTGGATAATCTGAGTAGGATTGTTGACATATATAACTGAAGAATGAAGTCGACGAATATTCCAAAAGGATTATAAAGTGCGGATCAAGTGGTACCAAAGCCTGAAACAATTATCGAGCTATTTGTACCGTTGTTCAATGATTATTTGACTAGTTGAAAAGATGAATCTATGAAGCACACATGATTGTTACTCTTTTGAATGGCCTGATCCAAAAAAAAAAACGTAAAAATATAGTAATAAGAGTTTTCAAAAAACGTGCACGTTCCTACTGCTGTTGGAAGACTTCACTTTTAGAAGCTGCGTACTTGAAAAAGAGTAGATGTTAAAGAAAAATTCGTCCTTATTTCTATTTCAATGTGTTAAGGTTATTTCTCTTGAATATATTCATTTGAAAAAAATGTCCTCAAATAAGATGAAGAAAAACGTTATTTATCAGTTTGATTATATAAGATTAAATCTTTATTTTTACAGAAAAAAAATATAAATAAGAATTTCTTTTTTTTTAAAGTTTGATGTGTCGCACGATATCATTATAGTTGTATACTTGTTAATTTAAATGTTTGGCCAGATATATCATAATAGTAATCTTTTCTTGTCAGAATAATTGATGTAGCAGCAGTTATTGTTATTAAATTAGTCAATCTTATTAATATTTGATCTTAAAATTGTATTGTCATCATGAGGTAAAGCTAGAAAAAAAATATTTGTTTAATTGAAAGTACATGTTGTAATTCATACGTACGTGGTTTAGAAAGAAGTTCAATATCAATCGATTTATCTAAATCTAGACAGAAAATATTTAATTCAAAACAAAAAAAACATCTTCTCGTTCTACCTTGTAATATCAATTGAAGACTAATTACGTAGAAGTAATAACGATGATGCCTCTTTCAGAATTATGAAAACTTATTTCAACCTATTAATTGCAAAAAATACATTAAATGTTTAAAGTGCTGATGGAAAGAGAAATAATTTGTTGCATTGCAGGTGTACGCATTACCTTCACTATATAAGGCTTATTCGTTTCGAGTAATGTACTAAAATAAGAACGTTTCAGAATTAATTAGTCTTATAAAGGCCTCTAATAATTCATTTTGATATTTAATCCGAATTCTAAAAGATGGATGTAGATTGAATTATAAAGATAAAATAACAAACCATAGTAATAAATGTAGCACAAGTTGGATCAAGTTTGATATTATTACCTTCAAAAAGAATCATATCAGCATGAAATGTAATACCTCGTTCAATGATTAAGAGAAGATGCATGAGAATATCGAGCACACGTCTAATAGGCCATAACATGATTTTTTGTAACACCCCCTTTTTTTTCTTTCATTCGATTCTACGTGAAAAAGTGGGCTGACGAAATTTTTTTTAGACTTTTATACCCTTCCTTCACGGAGTTATGAACATTTCAATTGAAGCACCCTTCAAAATTGCGAAAAAAACAAAATTTCAGTATTTTTCATTTTGTGAAGTCATGTTACA